ACTCCCGACCATCAGAAATTCGGTATTGCGGAATATAAAATGCATTTCAATCTCGTTACGCGCCATTTTGATTCGTTTTGTTTATTTATTTTGTCATATTAAAACATGTTTGGCATTTTTATTTATACTATGTTAGATCGATCGGGCATTTGTGTTTTAGATAAACCTGTTTCACCGTGCAGACGGCATAAATTTGCAAAGCAATACTGGTTCTTTAAAAAAAAAAAACGCGTTGACGCACACTCTTCTTATTGGAGACCTACCTTCAATCTGTTCCCTCCGCGTTTTTTTTTGTTTATCCTGGTATTAATCATATTTTTATTGACTTTAAATTGCCCTCATTCGGGAAATAATATGTCCCGAAATAGTTCATTATAAATAGGCGCCTTTCACGTCAACAAGCGACGTACAGAAAAACATCCACTTAGGTTCGTGATGTTGCCTTTTAAAATACCATAAAGAAAAAAAAAAAGAAACAACCTAAAAAATTAAGAATTTTCGTCTGGGCCTGTACGCAATCGCACTAAATATAGCACTTTTCTGTGCAATGTCCCAACCGGAACCCTTTTAATAATTAACATGGCACTCACGAATGCCAACAAGTAGTCTTCTACTCCCTGCGCGCATCTCTCAGGAACCCGTCGTACACTAGCTTTACTTATTTAATCTGTGGTTGACTAATATACAAAATGCAAGTAGCTCCAAACTGTAAGTCTTCTTCCACACTGTGTACGTTTGTATTTAGAGGTACATTTGCATCATTTATGCCATACCACAGAACCTTAAGTCTCGCAAATGTATGATGGAGTGGCTGTCGTTTTGTTCTTCATAGCTTTTGTATTTTTTTTTTTACTTTACGCTCTAATCCTTCGTACAGCAATATTGGTGCACTCCGGATATAGGTATGAACGAGTTTTATTGCTATTATTTTCTATGCGAATGCGCAGATTACTTACATAATAAATGCCGCCAAAGAGGATAGCACATTCTTGTTTTTCATGGTGAGATATCTTAAAAATGTGTTAGCATTTATTTAGGTCACCATCCCTCCCCCCTAAAAAAAGTCTGGTTGTTATATTAAAGCTTTTGCGCATGCGCAGGTGAGTGAATTACGCATAACGTGCCGTGCTTCTTTTTCTATTGTGCGCATGCGCGGGACGCGGGGGAGTGAGATACATGTACCGTTTCCTCCTCCTTATCCCGCGCATCCGCGTGTAGCGGAACGAGGAGCTCACTGGATGTGCCACAGGCTTGTCAATGCCGAGGACACTGAGAAGGTGATGGCTGAACAAAAGTGGTGACGGGTTGTGTAGGAGCATGCTCAACGTGCCAAAATACGCACGTGAAAAGAGAGCGACGTTTGGCTAGGCACGCAGAATTAGGTGCAGTTCACATTGCCATCTAATAAAAATGTGTGGACTTTTTATACTTCCTTACCCTTTATAGGGTTCACCGCGATTTATTCAGCGGAATATAGCCGTCATAAAAAAGAAGCAATACTACAGCATTCGATGTAGTGTGTGCATTGTGCGTATCCTTGTAGAATCTGAAGTTAGTCTGCTTTAACGGGCGAACTGCCCCTCACTTCTCGATGAGCAATTTAGCCAGTGCAAGTGAACCGCTAGCCTGAGGTCTTTAACATGCACCACGCAGTAGCGATACAGGACTGCACGCCTGTACGATGCTCAACAAGATAACAAGTAGGGGTGGGGAAATTGGAGGCAGTTTGCAATCAGGCACTGCTGATGCAGAGCCCAGTTTTTAACTGAAGTCATCAAATGTAGAATTACAGCTTCCGTTCATACGCATTTGAACGCCAGAAGGAAAAAAATCAAGTGAAACAAAGAATGCGGCAGAGCTTGCCTGGTTCGGGAGGTGTCTTCAAAGTTTAATTGTTGTTGATGTCCCTGGTTTAGCTCCTTTCCTTCTGGGTTCTAAACACAAACAGCGCTACATTCGAGGATTATTAGAATAAGTAGACAAGACGAGGAATGAAAGTAATTACTCGTTGGTTGTTATACAGTGAGAGGTTAATCTGCCAGAAGCATGGCGACATTGTAACCCACTCTAGATGAAAAAGTTAGCCAGTGAAGCACAACTGCTAGCTTGGGATCTTTTACGTGCATCACGCTGTAATTATACTCGGCCGTATGCCAGTAAGCTGGACGGGACGAGCACCAACTAACAACTGACGTTTTAACGCACAAGAACAAAAAGGCCCGGCGAAACCATGAGTGGTATGGTGCTAACGAGGGTGCCGTTCTTAATGCTACATGTTTTGCCGCTACCGACTATATGCCTGATCCGGCCGATGGCGGCTGCGTTTCTGTCTGCTCATCTTGGCGCCGAAGAACATGACGCCGCCTCAGTGCTCGCACCGCAAAGCTCGAAGAAGCACTCAGTGGCGTTCAATTTGACATTCCTGCTTTCGAATTTACAACTCATAAGAAGTGCTTAGGTGTCCTCGGAATTTCTTTTTTCTTCGACACAGTCACGGGCACGTTTTTTGACGATAATATTTCAGACCTGGTTTGTCAACTGTACGCTTCCGAATCACTGACTCTTAAAATGTGTCGTACCTGTACTCAAGAAAGGAGACTCATTATTGCTAACAAACTATCGTTCCATTTCTCTCACATGCACCCGTTGCAAACTCATAAAACATACCGTTTTAAACATTTTTTTTCTATTTTAGAAGAAAACAACATTTTGTTCTCCTTCCAACATGATTTTCGAGAGGGGATTTTCATCGCAACTCAGCTTTTATCGACGATCCATGACTTCGCTGCTAGTCTCCATAAATCTGGTCAGGTAGACGTTATATCTTGAATTTCAGTAAAGCCTTTGACAAGGTCCCTCATAGGAAATTAGTATTTAAATTAGAAAATGTTGATGTTCCGATTCTCGTTGTTGAAATGATTAAATCATACCTACAAGGGCGTAAATGATTCGTTGATAATGGTGGGAAAGTTTCAAATTGGTTGCGTGTTCCTTCGGGTGTACCCCAGGGCAGCATTCTGGGGCCCTCGCTTGTTCCAATATATATTAATGACATTTTGTCAGTCATCGATGAAAGTGTAAGCATTATGCTTTTTGCGGATGATTGTGTTCTGTTCAAATATATAACAAGCTCATCTGACCAGTAAGCATTAAACTCTTCACTTTCAAAAATGTCAGATTGGTGTGCCGAATGGCAAATGAAATATATTTAAAAAAAATGTTTCATTACGGATTACCAACAAAAAAACTTCCACTTGAGTTTATTTACGATGTCTGTAGCTCCGCTGCGCGCAGTTTCGGAGTACAAGTATCTAGGACTGACGATTTCTAAATCTTTCTCGTGGGATACACCCATCAATAACATCTGCTCATCCGCATTTCGTAATTTTGGATTCCTCAGGTTCAAACTAATGAAAACACAATCTAGTGTCAGTCATTTTAGCTTATAACACTTTTGTGAGATCGAAACTTGAATACACCAGCCTTGTCTTCACTAAACAGAACATTTCGGAGCTGGAAATGGTTCAAAGGCTCGCGGTCAGATTCACGTATGGAAACTTTAAAATATGAGACTCACTCCCCATCGCACACAATGAAAACGAATGGCATAGGCACGCTTGAGCTGCGTAGGAAGCTGTCCAATCTAAAATATTTATTGCTTAGGTTACGAAACAATGTACGGTTTGGGACACACGATCATCTCATTCCGTTATTGCCATGACCTACGAGGCACCATAATCAACATCCATTAACACCAATCTTTCCACGCACTAATCGTTTTAAATTTCCGTTCTTTTCCCGCAACATCTCAAAATGGAGCTCTCTACCTTCTAGCGTTTTTGAGGGTGCCGATTTTTGTGATGCGATTGATATTCATTTATCTTAGACGTGCTTACGTTTAGAGCGCAGCTCTTTGGTGCCTGTTTCCGCCTTGAGCGGCGTCGCCCTCTGCGTAATTGCACGTTGCATTATGGGACGTTTCTCCATATGAGCGTCACACGTGACGTCACGAGTGACGCCACGCGGTGCCTCGCGTCAAACGTCACGAGGGTGACGAGTGACGTCACCTTTGTGACGTCACCGTCGTGACGTCACACGGCGCCTAAAATTGGCGGGAAACGTTTTCTGTAAATTTAGCGGGCAATTTTTTTGCTAAATACAGAAGGGAAATTTCTCCGACAATTTTTTCCTCTAAATTTAGCGGGGAAAGTTTTTCGCTAAATTTTGCGGGAAAATTTTCCCGCTTAATTTAGCGGGTAATTTTTCCACAATTTCCCGGTATGTTCCCCTTCGTTCCCTTCCCTCGTTCTCCTCAAGAGCTGCGCCGTGATTTTGCATTAAAGAGAATTGTAGATGTCTCATTTTTTTCCGTATAAAATAACTTTCATGCTAGAGTTTTGCACGTCACTCTCCTGTATTGCATAAATTGATGTATGCCTCGACTATGTATATTCATCTGTTCTATTTTCGGTTTCAAACGTGCTTCCTTGTATTTTACTTCTTATTATTTCCACTCCTGCTTGGGCCAGTATCTGGCCTGCAGTATGTTCTATACAAAAGGAAAAAGAGGAAAAAGAAAAATGTAGGGAGAAGATTTAGAATGAAGCAAACGAGAAAGAGGACAAAGGAGCTATGAATTTGGAAGAAGAATTATTATAAATATATATAAGGTAAAATATATGTTACTAATCTTTATGTAAAAAACGCTTAAAAAATATGGCAAACAAAACGATCAAAAAAAAAAAAAGATTGATTGTGTCAGGGGCACTGACAAATGCGTCTCCTTTGCTCAGAATCATAATTTTACGCGTTTCTGAAAAAAAGTAACCGATTACAATTACAACTACTTTATTGAAAACTGTAACAAATTATAGTAATGATTTACTGCATCACAAAAGTTTTAGCCCAATGAACTGCGCCACTTAGTATAGTATAAAATAGACATTATCTATAAAACACAACTTGAAAAAAAAAAATATCGGCCTGACTTTGAATCGCAGACTCAGGACACCCTCGGCACCATGTCTCCCGTCGAATCGTCTCGGCACGCTGGAAGGAGGCCCGTCGTGGCGACGTACGGCGAGTCTGGCCGCACCGCGACCAGCGCGGTGGTCTTGAGCCGGAGCCTGCTAGTGCTGCTCGTCCTGGCTGCACTGCTGTGCTGCAGCGCAGCCGAACCCCAGCCGCAGGGAGGCGACTGGAACGCGCTGTCAGGCATGTGGGGCAAGAGGGCCAGCGACTGGAATCGCCTCTCCGGCATGTGGGGCAAGCGAGCGGGTGCCTACGGACCCTACCAGGTTGGTCCTGCCCCGGCGGTGTTCCCTTTTCCTTCTTTTTTTCGGGTTGCTGTTGGGACGGACTTTTATTTAGCTCACACGCATGGTGACTACAGATTGTCGTTTCGAGCGTCCCGCCGAGAGATGGCGCTAGCGGACTGGGCAATAATTAAAATATAAAAGCCTTAAACGTAACGTTTTGTGCGTTAGATAGACGTTAACTGTGGTGGTTAAAAATACCAGCTAGGGTGCGCCAGCCACCACCTGATTCAAAAGTTCAGCCATATGCATTCAGTCACCAATCGATCCATATATCCATTAGTCGAACCCATCCATTCATGACTTGGTGACTTTGACGGCTTCGTATTTAAATAACGTATTGCGTATTCATCGTGTTTTGTGTATTTTCGCACCAATTACGAGTGATAATTGGCAAAACTAGTTACACCATATGAACGCAAGGGTTTCGTACGAGGTAGGTCTTTGTACGTAGCTAGCGTTATTTCTTGTTGTGGCATGTCGATAACATTTCCGCTTTTCGCAAACGAGGAATCTGTAAAAAAAAAAAAAAGCCTTGAGTAAAGTGGTTGGTTTTAACTTTGCTGACAGCTTTATTAGCAAGCGATCAAACCTATGAGCGCCGATAATACTTAAGTGCACTGATCCGTTTTTTTTCTTGAGCTGCCGCAGAAAGTTGTCCTTAATTTTAAACTTATAGCGTCGAAAGCTGGTTGTGAATTGATGTGGTTTGGCTCTAAATAAGTGAAAAAAATTTAAAATGTTCATAATAAATACTAAAGCTTGTTACCGATTGGGGCTGGATGGTTTATTGATTTCGAGGAGTCAGGTTTGCGATAGTTACATTAGAGTGTACGTAAGTAATTACTTTGTGCCATCCATTTTGTATTGACTCGGTCATTCCAGTGGTTCAGATATTAGCAAAGTTGCTGGGCGTATGCGGTGAAAATCTAGCGGGTAATATAAACAGGGAAACACATTTACTTAAATTATCAACAGATATACTTATGTTACTTTGTCTCTGGCGTAAACAAAACTCCTAGAATGTTTTTGAGACGTGGGAACAAAATCCGGCGGTATCCACTAGTTTTATTTCGGCAATATATTCACGTAGAGAGCTTAAACAATAAAAAAACATATCAAGGCTCTACGCATTAAATTTCTCAAGTAAAATAAATATCTTCTTATGACTGAATTGACACTTGACATAACAAGACTAAAATGAACTGCACGAAACAACATCAAACTTATTGCACAGTTTGCCGTTGAGACAACTTTGCGACTTGCAAGTACTCGAGCTGTGGGTTAATGTCTACAAGCGGAACGGAAAGGAAGAAATAAATTGTAGAAATGAATAAAAGAGACTTTGACCCACGAATTTCGTAAAAGGTTTTCAGTAAATATAAGGGGACCGTGCCACATACAAACAGCTATTCGTGTTCACTGCCAAATCAAAATTAGGGTTCTTTTACGACCCGGAGCACCATTGATTTTTTTCAAACCCCTTAAAACCTAGCCGGTTGATGACTCTCAAGTAAAACAGCAACAAATAGCTAGCAAAACTTCTTTTTAATAAGTCTGCGAAAGATGTTTGCTGTTCGTCGCTGTGGTGGGACCAGGCAACCAATTGCGCCACAGGAGCCGACGTACCTTGTTGTCGGACGTGGCGATCCTTGCGGTTGGTGGTATAAGTTCCGACAGAAGGTTTGAGTGAACGCGAGTGTCCCGTTCGTCGCGGAGTTTAACTCCCGCCATATGGAGCTTCCGTGAACTGTCATGCCGGAGAGCGACGTGCCACGAAACCGGGGTCTGCCGTATCCGCCTCTGATGCTGCGACACCGCCAGGATCGCTGCAGGCAACAGCATGAATATTCTATGACGTCATCAGGCGAGGAAACACATTTAAGGACGCGTTAAACACAGCAGTCACAGAGACGCTCCAAGGGTTCAATTTTGGTCAAAGTGAGAGCGAAAGCATTCACGACTGTTTATTGGACGTGGCTCTACAGCTTGAGTGTAGTCAACCAATGAGACACTAGCTGCGTTCGATTACCTCGCACCTTCCGCACCGACGTGGAAAAGTATCGGGTAGTGTACTTCCGGTATGTGTATTAAGATGCGACCGGAAGTACACCGTCCTACATTTTTTTTTTCGCCGGTACAGGAGGTACGAATGAATCGAACGCAGCTATTATGGATCCCTTCGCAAGTTCGCGATCGGGCAATATTCTGTTGAGAGCGTCTACCAACATACAAATAGCGAGAAAGATATCGCTGTTCCTGATGTGCATGTTCTTATTACTCCTTCATCCACCCGTTGATGTCAGCATGTGTACGGCAAAAGAGCAATTTGAGATACGCAAATGAAGCGCGGATTGTCAATGGCTTCCAACGTAAAATACCAGAAGATCACAGTTTCAGCCTGCGTCCGACCTCACTTCGCCGCTGCTCTCGGTTCGCTGAAAACAATGAACTTTTTTTCGTGTCTGTTAGCAAATGACGTACGGTGTTTTGTTGTTTTATTTTCGGCCACCATTGACGCTTCGTAGCAGACGAAACGTCTATGAACGCTGTCTTCGCCCGCTCGGCAAGAGTCCAATTAGATCTGTCTCTGACCATTGTGGTGACAAACATTGGAGCCCAGGCACCATATCCGATCCATTTCTCCGTGTTGGTCGAGTGTTGAACGTGGTACGGCGCACGCCGCAGGCGCTGCTTCTGCGCGCCGAGGAGTCGAACGACGGCGCTGGCCACGGCATCAGCGCCCGGGCAGCTCCTCCCGGATCACCCCGGGAGAACCACTGGAACGATCTGAGCGGATACTGGGGCTAAAGGAAGCGCGCGGCTTCGACACACACCGACGCCCGGTAAGTGACGGCGCGCTGTCTACAATAGACTACGTTCTGCGTTTACTTAGGCCTGTTCTAAGCACTGTCCGGTTCAAATAAAAAAACTAATTCTGAACTTAATTTAATATAAATAGACAAATAAATAGCTAGGGGTCCTATTGGAGTTGACATTATTTGGTAGAAAAGTATATACACACGACTTAAGACGTAACGAAAACAGAAATAGGACCACATAAAAAGACCTTTTCTATAACTATTAAAGATGACTGTTTACTAAGAACTTTGAAGTGGACACTAACACACTGCGAATACGGTACAAGAAACTGGTGTAAAACGTATCAAGAACCACAGCTAAAACTACTTATACACAATGATGTGTTTGTGATAAAACGCAGATACATTTTGTCTCTTGTTATAAAATAAATAGGAATGTTTTGTTCCGTTATGCTTTTTTTTTATTAGAATCAAGTTGCTTTGAAGAAAAGATGATGCGATGATCGCAGATCCCGGTTTGTGCGACAATGGGTACCATACCCTAATTTATCGGAACTTGCGTTGATCAAACATTTATTTTAATTCATATCCACCGTGCAAACGGAAGCTTTAAAACGCCCCACCACAATTTTAATTTAAAATTTGGAATTAAAAAAAACTCAATATTATGATAATAAATAAATAAATAAATAAATAAATAAATAAATACTAAATGAATAAATAAATAAAAAGAGCTTCGACTGCGGCTAAACCACTGTCGAAGGCACTTGCACATATGAACAAAGGCATATGCCGCTAAAATGAAAATTTGCGGTACGACAGAAAGACGAGAAAAGATGAAACCCAAAACGATCGGTGGTTGAGCCGTCGACATTCGCGTTTACAAGATGGCTACCCTCCCGATGATGGCACCGCGGCGCTGACTCTGGAGCGTCAACCGACCCCGTCCTCAACACCCCGAAGAAACGCATACTTAAAAAAAAAAAAAAAGTACCCTATTCTTCTCTGGACTAGCACAGGTGCCCTCTCCACACATTTTTGCATATAGACGCTGCCATCTACTCTGTAGCGCTGAAGATGCCGATGCAGTAGCTTGCGTTATTTGCTGCGTCTATTGACAACTCGGTCGGCGTTTCCCGAATCTTTAGAAATACGTGTTTGAATGTGCGATCCAATCGTCTTTCGGTGTCTCTATAATAGCATGGCGCGATGACTTATGATGTCGAACCATAATAGCAAGGAATGTTTTCAGACAACATTATTTTTCTTTAAAGTCGTCTTTAATGCCTTCGAGAATCCGCAAAGAGTGAGGCACCCGGATCACATAAAGTAAACGTACATATTTTCTTGCTATCTCCGCAATTAGAAAACGTTAGTAGTTGAATGGCTCTTGTTTTGATGCTTTCTCGACTAACGCCTGTTAAGGTGCCACCAAACCTTTTTTTCTAAATTTTTTTAGGTGTAGTTCGTGATGTTAATAATACATAAGACACGAGTTTTGTTTCAAGTTTCATTTGCTAGCCGTTACAAGCGATATCGAATAAAATCGAACAACTTAAAAGCTGGGCTGTATGCAGGAAATAAGTGGCGAACAAGCGACGAATTCTACCTGCCGGCGTTCGCTTTTCGCGCGGTGTCACGACCAGGGTGTCGAACCGGAACCGAACCGAACCGAAAACCGGAACAGAACTGTTATTTTTAGCCGAACCGGAACTGAACCGAACCGAAATCTTCGCCGCCATCTTGGAACTGAACCGGAACTGAGCCGGAAAAAAAATATAACGGTAACCGGTTCAAAACGGTTCACGGTATTTTTTTTGTTAGTATTACAAATTTATTATTTGGGAATAAAAAATTGGCACGTGTATTCCTCTACGTATTGATCAAATCGTCATATACAGAATTGCAATGTATAATAAATCCTGTTTTTTTGCGGCGCTTTCTTATTGGCACTATGACTAGCCATGTGTCACATCGTCACGTGACGTCATGATGTTAAGACATGCTGTCAAGTAATGTCACATCACGTGACCCCGTGACGTCACGTGACTCACCGCGTTAAGTCGATTCAAATTGAGAAGGTCGCTAGATCTATTAACGTTGTTGATACCGTGACGTCACATGACATCACAACTTCGCACTGAGAGTCACGTGACACCATGATGTACTCGATTGTCACGATCCCGAGTCGAATGCCCTGGTTCATGACAACCAGTATCGCCAAACATTCGGGTAACGGCTCGTGTTCAACTCAAAAATTATTATGGGCCCGAGTCCCACAAGAGCTAGAAACAGAAACAAACGAAAGCGACAAGCCTCAGACACATGCAGCATGTTCGCGATGGTACCTTTATACGGCTTTGAGTTGTTCGGTGCTCGCGAAGTTTGCACGAGTGTTTACAAGCCTACAAATGGTACCATCGTGCGAAGGATACTCGTGTTTTGGCATAGCCTTCTTTATTCTACAAAGCCTGTCATATCGCGAAATTCTCTGGTTTAAGGCTAGCCGCTGTCGTTTGTTTCCGTTTGTCGCTTTAGTGGGGCTCGGGCCCCATTATAGCCGAACTAAAACTATACCTGAAGATTAGCCCATGCTCTCTGCTTTGCCAACCCTGCGTAGGACTATGATAAACATTGACGGTGCATATATTAGGATCAGATCACGTGGCTGATAGTTCTAATTGCGAGTTGAGGAGGGAAAGCTGTTTCATTTCTTTCTTTTGACTGCGTCTGCCATTTCGCGGAGGGGCAAACTAATGGATGCTTTTGCAAGTTATAAACGTCAGCGATTACAACTTAGCGGTATTTATTGAACTTAAGGTAAAAAAAAAAATGCTGCACGACCCATTTTACATGTATGCACACCATTGAGGCTCCCAAACGATGATATACGGCAGCCTAATGAAATGTTGCAGCACATGACTGATAAAGAACAGAGTCGTGAAGTAAGGTCCCAAAACAAGTGTACGTAAAACCTAAGATAACATTAGCCTCCCGAGGTAGCATCTCGCGACGTTTCGAGCTGAGGCAAGCTGATGCCCAAAAGCGATTTATATTAGGATTCTAAAAATCTTCATTTGCCCTGCGCGGAATCTATGTTTAATTAGGAATATCATTTTATGCATTTCTATGCATCTCTTTTTGCAGTAAAGCGTTGTGTAAGGGATTATTTAGAAAAAATTGCGTGTCATCTCCTTATTTCTGCACATTTCGTGTATTTGCCTTCAGATATATCATGTGACCACAGTGTTTTTTGCATACCCTGCAACCCAGTATTTTACACTGCAAAACAGCTAACGAAAGCACGTTTCCGAAGACTTAACAGCTGGTGTATTTTCGAGTATCGTCCTTCCGTCTCGGCCTCAGGCGGTTATGTGAAATTCATAAAGTCCAATTTATCGATGATAATAAAAATATACTTAATTCCTGTCTGAAGATTTGGCAGCATAAATAGAAGATCGTCACCTCAAAGATATATAAGTAAATGAACCTTTAAATCATCTGAAAGATGTTCTGCAAATCTTTTCCGGCGCTTTTATCCTCAATAGACACGTTATAGGTGATTTGGAAAAAAAGCTTTAAATAATGTTTTTTTTTTAAATTGAAGCTAATTTAAATAACTATATGTGTTCCTCACACATATATAACTTCTCAAATATATAGAAGTTTATTATTGCGTTTTTTATGTGTTTTTATTATCGCCTTTTTTTACTGGAACGAATGGTGGAACTATGACGATTGCACACTTAAACTCTCAGAAAGTGTCGAATTAATTAGCTTCCGAATTGAGTAGATCATGAAATTCCACTTTGTTCTATTTAACAAAAATCATCAATTAGCGAGGGTGATGCTTATTTGCAAATTAAATTGACCGGCATTTTGTCAAGAGCAAACCTCAAGAACCAGGCTATGCCAGTTTATCCAATATAAGAAAATGTTCACATGGGTAAGCACTTTTTTAGGTCAGATTCGATCTCAGTACGAAGGTGCTCATAGGTTAGCGCGAATAATTTCAGCCACTCCTTTTCGCATGATTCGTCGCCCGCATCATGCTGCTGTGAGCAAACAATGCTAGTTAGAAAAACAAGCATTGCGATTGTCGCTTAGTGTTTCTGTAAAATATAGACTGGAAGGACTTGTCCCCTGACTTTCGTGACATCTTGAAAATTATATTGCCTTGAGTTCAGTCGTCTCGTCATCATATATATATTGTGAAACGTATTCCAAAAAACACATTTTATGGTGTATATGGCGACGAACTGCCCATTTCATGATTTTATTCACTGTAATGAATTCCTTAGTTCAAGGGCAAAACCACGAATCAACATCTAACTGCGATACAAAGTTGTACCAATCACGGGTATTTCAGGCAACCTACTTCACTTCGCGAAAACATTTCGATTCAGGTACAATGTATGTGACTCTGGCAAACAAAGGAATGTTGAGTCGTATATACACGACGTTTTGTATGTTAATGTAGATTTTCCTTTCTTGTTGTGTAGGTATAAATAACAGAATTTTATAATTTTTGTACCTGAAAACAAAACGGGATTGAACAAACGATAAAAAAAGAAGAAATCTATATACTGTAAACGACTTATTTTTCGTGGGCTCAATATTTCGCGATTTAGGTCAAAGCTGAAGTTTCGGAATAATTCGCGGGTTGTAATTTTCTCGACGCGGTGGAATCTCAATATAAATTTCGATCTGTTTACATTTTACCGAAATGTTTCGCGGGACCCATTTTTCGCGGATTGTAGGCGATTCGCGAAATTCTCAAAAATAAGTCCTCGCAAAAATCAGATCGTTTACAGCAGTTAGTTTCACGGCCTAAATAGTGCATATGACAGAACAAAGCGGAAAATATATTATCAATTTAGCGGTTCAAACCGGTTCGAACCGGTTCGAACCGGTTTGAACCGTTATTTTTTACGCCCCGGAACTGAACCGGAACTGAACCAAAAGCCGTGAACCCGAACCCGAACCGAACCGATAAAAATATCGGTTCGACACTCTGGTCACGA